GCTTTCGCCATAAATAATGTGGAGTGTTTTTGATGGGAGATCACAGCTACATAGTTTAAAATGTTTGCAATCTGAAGGCAAAAGGTATTATCAAATGGTCAATGCCCATTTTAAAAACCCAGCACTGAGTTAAACTGGAAAAAGCATTACAATTAGAGTAAAATTTCACAAAAGCGTGTGAATTCTGAGTCAAGTATGTTTTAAGCACTGCAAACCCACGCCCTGGGATTTAGACATGTATGGGCTTCTGGAGACCTTGTACTACAATCAGTGTTTTATATCACTAGAAAACATGTAAACAACAAGTGATCCAATTCTACATTCTTTTAGATACTTAGCGTTTGCAATAGCAAGACTTTCTTTCCACTGGATAATAAGGTGAAGGAAAGACAAGTGCTTTATTCTCAGCAGATGTCCTTGAGTGTAGCACCTGAAATTCAGTGTACTGTATCAAATGTATATAGTGGTTAACTGCAGCGAAACGTGTTGTTTTCTGGAGTGCTGAAGAAAAATTTCCATAGAAACCCCGTAACTTGCTACCTTGAACTTGGAAAATGACCATTTGAGGGAACAAAAACAAATAGACAAAAAACAATAGATTCTTACAGTAAGACATCCAACAAAGAGTTAGACGTGTGCCTGTATGTGAATGAAGATTGGCACCCACTCTAAGTTGAAAAGAAAGCAATCTACACACTGTTTAAGCTAAGATCTACACCATTAAGAGAGGGATGCAGGGCCATTGTACTCAACACTCACATAAAGAATATCTGTAGACTTTGTACAAAACAGTTTCTCTGTGCTTGAAGGAGCATTTTATGTGGCTCTTCTGAGCTTGGTGTAAGCTCAGTGTGACACCGACCCACCGAGAACATGGCAGAGTAAAGCAGGAGAAAGAAGGAACTCTGTGTTTCCCAGAAGGGAGAAAAAGCATTGATCAAAAACTGATTTCCGCTATATGATACAGCCTAGAGAAACCATAGATCAACTTAGCCTTCTTCATCTCCACTGTTATTCAACCCATGCCCAAATTACTGGTTTTTTTTTTTTCTTTTTAATAACAGTTCTGTAGAACTGAAAAGTGTATCTAGTGGATGTAAAAATAGTAATTTCAAAACACTTCTGAGGCACTTGAAAGTATCATGTGGCAAAGTGTCTGAAACAAAAAAATGAGAGATTTTTATGTGAATTCCTGTGGTGTAACACAGATCAAAGTTACTGAGGGTGTAAATTTGTGTGAATAGGGGATGAGAAATGAGTCTTTTTGCGAAGTTCATGTTTACATTCATGATTTCTCTCTGCCTCTATGTGCAGGGTGCTGGAGTATGAATGTTCCTATCGTTTTAGAACCTTTCTAAAAGAAATAGTATTCCATCTGAAAGAGGGCCTTGACATCCAACCTGTAGCAGAGTATTGTCCTTCAGAAAATTTTAAATTTCTTTTAAAGTTTTTTCATGTAATCATTTGTCCTATTTGTGTGGAAACATGTACACTTTGACCTCAATGCCAGTCGGTTGATAGATGAAACTTACTCACTCAGCCAGTAATTGGTGCCTGTTCTGTTCCTCCTTACTGGTAATCTCTGCAGGGGAGAAAAAATGTCAGAATTTCCATTTCAGAGGAAATTCAAATATTTTAACATACAGTTTTGTCCCATGTCAGATGAAAAGAAAAAGGTCTTTAAAAAATTTTGCTTGGAACATGAAAAAAATGCAGTTAATGTCACACAATAATGCATCTGCTAGCAGTAGCGCAATGCCTCCTGGAAGCAGAAATGTTAATGATTTATCCCATCATTCTTCATGGACTGGGTCCTTTGAAGAAACTACTTCTGCTGTTATGTTTATACTTACAACTCCTGTGATGCACCAGGGCCTTGTCTGTGTGACTGGGTACATAGTCTCCGCAATGTTGGACTGCAGATAAGGATGTTAATATCAAACTAATTGTTTAGGCTCAGTTCTATAAACCAGAAAATCTCTTCTCAGATCAAGCCAAACTGAAGTATGTCATTCTTTTCCTTCTTTTTCTGATGAAAACTCAGTAGCATTTCCGCAGAAATGCACGCAACTGGGTAAAAACATAATTTTCCATTGAAAAAGTCACGTGATTAAAAAAAATAATAATTCCAGCAAGCTCTAATAATTAGTAATGTCTTTGCTGCCTGTTCTACTCCTTCATGTATTCTCAAAGTAGGTCTTGTTACTTTTTTACACTAACACTTGCCGTTCCCTCCCGATATGCAGTGTTCATTAATATCAAAGCAATTTAACCTCCCTTCTCCTACCTCCCTATCTTTCTCTTCCAGTCTGTTAAATGTGCTGTAGCTGATACAGTTTGATCAAGTACATTGTGCTTTTAGATCTCTTTGCAGGGTTTGGTTTGGTTTAGGGTGCGGAGGGGTAATTTATTTTGTGTGTGTGCGATGAACCATAATTATCCAAATGTTTTTTCCAAAATTTCTTTAATCTCAGATACCTAGGCTGTGTGGGAGAGGGGCAGGAATGGAGGAAATCCTGGGAAAACATGTGGTACTACATTTGCTTCAGTCTGGACAAGACCACAAATGATAAGGGCAAACTTAAGCACATACTTTAAAGTATGGAAAGAAAAAAGTAAACATTTACAAATCATGAAGTACTAATGGAATTTTTGTAATGTATGGAACATCTCCAAGAGGTTCACATGAACCACCAGTGAAATAACATCCTCTTTGAAATAGTACATCTGATCAGAATGTAGGGAGGTGTTAGATTTAGTTTTGCAGCAAAGGGTACAAGTTCTACTGCAGGAATCAGTGAAAAGAAAGGATGCTGGTGTAGATAAAGATGGTGTGGGAGGGTGTATGTGGTAACAGAAGCATTCGTTCTGGAATTTACCTAACAGAAAAGTCATTGAAATACAATCCAGTAAGTGTGGTTTTAATAAAAAGCACAGAAATGCTGTAAGGATGGTGTTTCAGAAAAGAAATGAAATGTAGGAAAATACTTCTGCTTGTATCCATTTAATGATTAAGAATGTTTACAATTTAGGAAGAGGGAAGTTTTAAGTGACGTTCATCAAGTCAGTAAGAAGAGCATGTGCATGGAAGAAGAGTCTGCAGAGAAGCTATCAAAGGGGAAGGAAGAAGCTACTTAAAATAAGCAAGGAGAGGAAATGTAATTAAATGTTAGGACAGATAATGCAAGGAGAAATAAAAGGATGATAGATCCTGGCATTGGCAACATGCAAGGGATATTCCTTGAGCTAGCAAAATGACATAGGGCTGACTGGGACATACATAGGCTACAATTTCAAATATATGCTATGAACACACAAATACAGAAACGGCATTCAACTCTTAAGATCAGATGACAGGCATACCTTCTCAGGTGGTTTAAGTATGCGTGTGAGCCAGGATGAACAATCACTTTTGTGGGCACAATTATGAGGGCTGCTTTCTGAATTAATATTTGATTTAATAAATCAGAGCGTCTTCTGCAAATACACAGCACAATCTGTGTACGCTGTAAAATGTGTGCTCTGGTTTTGCTGCTTTTCTTTTCCATTTCTGGGCTCAGCTCCTAAGTCCAAAAATGCTTTTACTTTCTATTGCTCTGTTAACCTTTGGATGGCATCTCGTGTGTGTTTACAGCCTTTGTACAAAAGCTGACTGCAGCTATCTGTTAATTAATTTGCCAGGCACAACTTCACAAAGCGAGGGGAGTGTTCTCTTTTGTGTTCTTGCAACGTTTTTAAATGTGAGGAGGTATGATTGGTGTTCAGTAATTGCCAAAGCTTCTGCCCAAATTATGAAGTACATATCATGATTGTGAAGATGATCAGCGTGTTTGCTTCAGGAGGTATACCACGTATACATAATGAACATAATTGCAGCTATTCTCACTTTTTCGCTTTGGATTTTCTATATTTATTATTTTTTATTTGGGGAGAGCAGGAGGAAGTTCTCCTTTCATAGAAATTTAGAAAGACCAGTGATATGAACAGAAAACAAAATAAATTTAAAAAAAAGTAGAGAAAGTGAAAGTTTAGTGCAGAAAGTAGTAGTCAGAATGATGAAGCAGCTTCTAATACAACTTGCAAATAAAAGGTATCATTGAGACACGTAAAATATGTTCAGTGCTTGGTTGAGTATTTCAGTGCGATAAACTCAAAGGTATGGTTCAAACTCAATTTTGGATACTTAGGTTCAGCTCATTTTACGGATCTATGAGTCACTCGATTCTTTGTAAAGAAGACAGACTAAGATCCAAAATATACAAAGCACATCTTAATTTATAGAATAATGTTCTGACTTTCAGAGTCTAAGAAAAGGCATTACACTTCACCCAAAGTGTTCGTATTTGTTCACCGCGTCTTATGTAAACTACTGCCATCAACAGTGGCTCTGTATTGCGTCAAGGTTTCTGTAAGGAGACAGATAAAGAGCTTATCTCCTGCACATATTCTGACTTATCTTCACGATTTTCCTGCTCCATTGACTTGTCTGTCTTTGGGCCTTTGGTACCGTATGTGAAGTGTTCTTCAACACAGGGGAAAAAAACCTTTTTATCCCCGAAACATGGTGAACATCAACTGCATAAATGCTGCAGGCAGTGGCATAGCCACACTTGTAGCTTATCTAAGTGTTTCTCACCTTTACAGCCATTCAGAGGTTTATTTTCCAGTGCATAACACAGTTTATCTCTGGAGCTTTGCATTGCATAGAATATGAAAGGTCCGTCAGGCTCTTCTTAGGATGTCAAGTTACTGATGTTGACCACATTGAGAGGTTAGTGGTGAGGACACTGAAGACAGAAGTGCCGCTGGGTCTAGAAAGCTGAAGAGTATGGATCTGCTGTGTACTAAAAACTAAGAAAAACACTACACATCTATGAGATCTAATAATGGACGGAGTGTGCTAACATTACGTTTCTCTCTTAAAACCTTGGCTACATACATGCACACACCGTGTTCCAAGTTTACTCTCTCCTAACCATGCGTTTTCTTTTTTTCACCAGGGCATATTTCAAAACATTTGTCCCTCAGTTCCAGGAGGCAGCATTTGCTAATGGGAAGCTTTAGGCAGCCTCGGGCACGGAGATGATACGGGATAGAACCTTCAGTCTGCGCGTGTCAGCCCATGAGAAGAATGCCTGGAAATGGGTTGGACTGTGTGCTTAAGTGCTTTCTCGCCTCTGAAATGGGTTTGGTAGCTTCAGGTTTTGTCAGATTTCTGAAACAAAGACCTCACTAGCATGCTTAAAACTGAATGTTTGATATTCATCCTGTCCCTTTGCCTCTGCCACCACCATTCCTTCATATATCTACTGGATTAAATTTAAAGGGTGTGTTTTGATGTGATAACATTTTCTTGTGCCAACAGCGTCCTGTATGTTATGCCTTGTTTCCTTGTCTTCAGATGGTGAAAATTGGATTTGCTTTTTCCACGGAAATATGATGTAATTTGTATATTTAGTTAACATTTCCAGCTTATCCTAAGAAAATATAAAACTGCCGTATGTACCAGGAATTTTTTTATGCCTAATGGACTGTACAGTGCCATATTCTGCCTTGGAGGTTTGCATCTCACTGTGGTTGTTATTCTCACAGGTACGGATATGAGTTGCACAGTTCAATTCTCAGTGCCTTTCAAGTTGGTCTGATATTTATATGGCAGGATGTCAGAGGGGAGTTTTTGAATACTTCAGTCGAAAGCTCATCTTATATGAAATGCTATGCTTTTGCGCTTTGTTTTTATTTCCAGTTGTACAATTTGTTTTTCTAATGAACTCCCCTTCCCATTATAAAAAAAGGTGTACTTCTTTAGTACCAATGCTTAAGGAACTAGTTGTATAAATCAGTATAACAAAATAAAGCTCTTTCATAGACCTGTAATTTTTCCAAGTAAGATAAATACTGCGAAGAAGCAAACTTTCAACAAAGGAATGAATGATGTCTTGGAAAATAACTGATGAAATAATGTAGGGCTGTAGGTATTTAGCTTAATGCTTAAGTTAAACATGTCTTCTCAGAAATAATTTTAAGTGTATATAACTGGAAACATTACCTCCCCTAATTCTGAAATGCCAAATGTAAAATCCCATCTATTCATCCTTTCTTTCACGCTTGTGTCAGGCGCACCAGTTGGGGCTAACTGTCACGATGTCACTTCCCAAATTAATTTGTAAATAGACCAGGGTACTTTCCAGTAAGGAATAAAATTAACAGTGTATGTTGCTTACAAATGGCATATGGAAAATGTGCCCTACTTCTGCTAAATATAAGGAACTAAATGAATAGTATGCAGATGATACAGTGGCACTGGAAAGCATTTAATTTGAAATTATTCACTGTAGCACCACTGTCCGCTTATGCAATGAAGTCTCATCAAATCACTTGATTGGCAGCATTCTCCTACCCTTTCTAAAACTTGTTATTTTACATTAAAAATCATGCTTGCCAGGGGAATGTCCACCTAGGAAATGTGGATGGGTTTTGAGCAGTGAAGCTTAATAATTAAGAATTATGCAAATAATTTGCCTCTAGAAACTACAGGTATTTTTAGCTAGTTTAAAGGCAGAATTTTAGTTTATGTTTAATACTGAAGTTCTTGGCTGGAAATCAAGCTGCAAACAAAATCAGAAGCCTTATTGCAAATCTACGGAGGAGGGGGCATATTCTGTCCTGTGACCCACTCCCTTGTGACTCTTGCTGCGTTATCTGAGGGCTGTAAACGGCTCCAAAGGTCTGAGCCCGACTTCCCTCGCTGGAGGCATCGCATTAGGCTTTTGCATCCAAACCAAGACTTACAGCAGATCTGGAGGGTAATAGTTTCATGTGAATAGCAAAACTCATAACCTTAACTGACAGAAAACAGGCGTTGTTTGGTATACTGGGATGATCTCACATCTGCATTTGTTCAGGTGAAAGTCAAAGCCACACACACATATTCAGGAATAAGGTAATTCTTGTGAATGGGGTGGGAGAAGGAGGATGGCTAATGAAAAACATTTGTTCTCGTAGTCTTCAAAATCTGGTAGAAACAATCTCTAGCATCTTCAAAAGGTAAAAACAAAACCCTCAAGTTGCATCAGTAGATTCTTGGAAACTTACATTTTATAACCTTGTGTTTGATTCAGTGTTCTAGTGATTGCCCCATGAACACAGTGTTCGCTTTATATACCTGATTGTCCAAGTGGCACCAGTGGTTTTTCTTTAATCTTTTCAGAAGTTACCATGGTTCAAAGGGTAGCAACTGCAAAACGTTTCAAAAGGAGGTCCACTCTTCAGAACTGGTACACATTTTCAACCCAAAATACATCCTTCACCTCAGTCCTTGTAATTTTGGACAAAGGACTGCTTTATTATGAAAGGACGAAGAGTTTTAGAAGCCATATAAGAAAAGACTTTGAGGATATAAAAAGCCTAAACCAGCAATTCCTTCTATTGAATTCAATGGTTTCGCTAACGTTTCACTGGCATATATGGAAACGAACCGATGGTTTCAGTCTAATTTTATGTCATGCTATAACTGGTAGTATTTAAAGAAAAAAAAAAAGAAAAGAAAAAGGTAGAAAAATTGAGAAACTGAACTGTTTGTGTTTAAGGTAAAGTCTGCAAGCCTATCAATTTTCAGATTAGAAGAAAGGCATTTTTCTTACACTGGATGAACATTTTCTTTATTTCAAAGCCACTCTGTACTCTTTGACCTGCACAATGTTTCGTGGAGCCCTTCCTGGTAGTTCTCAGAAAAATGCATTGCAGTGTTAGTACTACAAATGGGGTATTGGGAGGGAAAACATGGAAATAAGTGAACTCTTCTCTCCAGAAGGAGGATTACCATATAAATACTACATCAGAAAAGAGAGTCAGTTTGAGTAATTTTGTATTAAATCAAGTATGTATTGAAGGCATTTAAGTTAGCCACAGAAGTTGTAATCTAGTAAGTTGGAGGTATTTCTGTTATCTCCTGTTTTATGATAATATCCATTGTGGCCAATTCAATAGCAATGACATTTTCAGCACTTGCTTTCCTATTATGTGATGTATGCAATTAAAATGAGCAGTCGGACCTGGCTAGTTTCTTTGGTTTATGGGAACCACAAAACATAGGAGAAAAATGTTATGAACATATTGAAAAGCCTGAATTCTACTCTGTCACAATTTTGATTGAGAGAATGTAGTAAGTCTCTAGTTACTAAACCCCATTAATGTACGATTTTCCAAACATCCTTAAAGTGCAAATTTACAGCCAAGCCTTTATTCATCTGCATACGTAATCCCCTGTGCTAGAAGTAACACCAAATCTTTCGAATTCCAAGTTAGATTTTTTGTGAACTTGCTGGAAAGACTGGACAAACAGCTGGAAGTATAAATAAAAGGTAACAATGTTGTACATAGTTTGGCCTTCATTGAGCTTTCTGTTGTGCTGGTCATTGCTTTGTTGATCACCACGTTTCATTTGCCAGATCAGCAGTGTTTTCAGTGTCATCGGTATCTGTGAACATCCTCCCATTCATCTGTGGAGTAGACTTGAGTCAGTTTTTGAGAAGAAATCATTGCTAGAATTAACACAGATCTCCTACGCATTGCTAGACCCTCTCTGGGCAGGTTTCTCTATGTGTTTCCTTCCTGTCATCCTGTCTGGCGCTCGCGGCAATAAGCGTCTTTGATGAATCAGTCGGGAGACAAGATCCAGCAGTGAAGTGCAGTACCTCAAGTCTTACTTGAGGTGGTTTTGCCCGAAAAACTTCTTACCTAGGAAAGAGGGGAATAGGTCTGGTTGGTCTCCATCGAGCAGTGTCCCCTAATACAAGGCTGGGGGTTTAGCAAAGGTCAAACACCTGTTAAGAACGGACTGCTACTTGCACATCCTTCTCCTTCGATGTCAGTGCCCTTAACAACCAGAGAAGCAGCGGGTGGTAGAAACCCATAGTAGCATGTGAGAGTCAGCCCTGCAGGTCTGAAATACGTTTCTAATACCACGTCTATGCAGCAGCGATGCATGGAGGTGAAGGGGTAGTGTCTTCTGTCAGTGGAGAAGGGGAGTTTCTCACCCTTCCAGCTCTGTGAGAAAGGCGTGCTGCAAGGAGGGAGCGAGCTTTGGACACGGCTTCTGACCATGACTGGTAATTACAGGGTGCTGTCCCTGCCCTGTGAAGCAGATGAAGTCTGTGACCGAACTGACTGCCAGTGAATGCTCTTCCCTTAAATTATTTATGTCTCTGTAATTGATGTATTGTAACGCTCATTAAACCTAAAGGTTACAGTGTTTCTTACTTCTTAAATGTTACTGAAAATCCCTTAAGTCATCTCCTTTTCAGTTCTTATTTTCAGGTGTCTGTAATGTTCTGGGACAATTTTGTTTCATCCTGACTTGTACTGCTATTTTTAGCAAGTTTGAGGTTTATGTTTTAACAAGGCAACAAGGTGTGTGCTGGTTTCTTAGGGGGCTACATGAAATACAGAATGACTTGCTGTAAAAATAATCAGTAGAAACTGTTTTTTACTTATTAAGCTAAGTGATGTATTCTCCGCAACAGAATAATTCTGAGGAAGGACTCTGTTGTTACCCAGAACAGAGAGGATAATCATGCTGATGGCATTGAATACATTTTTTGCACCACGTCTTAGTTTAATTTGCATCGTAGCATGAGCAGGGGGAAAGTGTATTCTCCTTTTCTGAAGGAAGCCTGCACGTAAATAAACCATTGATCGGGCTATATCTTTTCCTGTTTGTACTTTGAAACAATCATCAGGTTTGTCCCTGTGGGCAAAGCCAGTAAAAGTCTGAACAATATACATCAATAGTACAGGTTTTTTGTAAATTATTTTTTTTACTGACTTCTGTAGATTCAGAGAATAATTTCAAACTTTGCGCTGGGGGAAGGTAAACAACACAGATGTCAGAAACGTGCAAGTAATTTTAGCTACGTGTGAAATAAAAGACTAGCAGTCTAAATAGCAGTCTGCAAGAGCTCAGAGGTTCTGCCATGTATTCCTAAGCATGTGGCCTGAAAAGCCATGGTGCATTGGTGATTTGAGTGCTGCTTTTCCTATTCTATTCCCTCGCTCACATTTAAAAGCTCAGTTCTTGGTTCCAAGGCACTGCACAAACACCATTTTGTTAAAATGGTAGTTACCAAGCAAAAAGGCAGGGGGGGAAACTGGGATCAGCTGCTGAAAATAGGTCTTAAATCATCAAGAAATCAACAAAGGAAGCAAGGTTTGGCGGCTGCCCTGCCACTTGCTGAGCCTACAATATGGGCCTTCAAACATGTCCCCAGTGCAAATTAAAAAAAATACAGGAGGTTTTTCTTGCAGTGCTAAAGAATAAATACACTTTTAAACAACAGGAAGTAAAGCAAGCATTTAATTGCAGGCATGAAAAGCAAAATACACACTAGAAGCCTAACGTTATTTGTGCCTACAGCTCCCCGTGTTTCTCCTGTCACCAGAGAGGGTAAAGAATTAATGCCTCGTGCTGCAGCTGCCCGTGGGGAAAATTGATCCTTGGGGTGCTCCGTGTTTTCATCAAACTTCTATTTAAACCCTAATGATGCTTTTTCTATCCCTGAGGATGGCAACGCGCTACCAGGGAAAACCAAACCTGGTGCTATCAGGGGTTTCTGTGCCACTGCTGCTCCGTTTCAAGCCTTTGATTTGGGCGGGGCGAGTACTTTGTAAGCCATCAAGCCTGCCAGCAAACAGGGTACATTTTATTTCCTCGGTGTTTATTTGAAATGATTCAAGCTGATTA